ACTCACATTCACACCTACGGACAATTTAGAATCACCAATTAACCTCAACATGTTTTTGGACTGTGTGGGAGGAAGCTGGAGAACCCGGAGAGAACCCACCTGCACAGGGAGAACATGGAGACTCCACGCAGAAACATCCCAGGCGTCCTAACTGGGACACAAACCGCGGATCTTCTAGCTGCGAGCCTAGCTTGCAGCCTACCGTTAAATCATGGTCAATTTAATTTACCTTTTTGGACAAGAATTTTTTTTAAAAAGCTCATTTATGTGAAAGTGAAAGCAGATCTCTACAAAGTAATGTCAATTAAATTCATAGCACTCCTTCAGAGGAAGTCATGGGTGTCTTGGTGGCCTCACTCAATCTTTTCTTTCTAGTCACTCAGTCTTTAAGGATGGCCTGCTCCTGGCAGATTTACACATGTGCTATATTCCTTCCTTTTCCTAATGATGTCTTTAAATGCACTCCAAAAGATCTTCCGTGACTGCATCGGGTTGTCCTCCAGGATTTCTCTATACTTTGCTGCATTCATCTTACCCTGTACCCTGGCCAGAAACATCCCCACATCATGATGTTGCCACCACCATGCTTCTGCCTAACAGCATCTAGTTCAGTGGACAAGAAGCTCCATGAACTTTCCTTCATATGATTTCAGAGTCTCCTACATGCCTTCTCTTAAACTCTAGTCAAGATATAAAATTAGCTTTCTTCAACGCTGGCTTTTCCTTTGTCACTCTCCCATAAAACTTTGAAAGGTGAAGAACAGGCTACAGTTGCTGTCTGCACCGCCTCTCCCTTCCAAGTCAAAGAAGCTTGTAAAACCTTAAGAGGAGTCATAGGTGTCTTGGTGGCATTCCTCGATAGTCTCTGTTTTGCACAGTTACTCAGTTTTAAGAACGGCCTGCTCTAAGCAATTTATGCATGTGCCACTTTCTGAATGATGGATTTAACTGATCAAAGAACATCCAGTGACTTGAATTTTTCTTGTATCCATTCCAGACCAACTTCAGCGGGAGTTTGTGCACCATCCAGACAACCAGCTCTTTACCTCTTTGTCTTTATTTCAGCTTACATTAACGTCCAACACATTTTTCACAGACAGTACAACAAATTTCTCAACTCATTACACTTATTTTACGATCATTCTCATCAATCTTGTTTTCTTTCCTAATATGAGTTTTATTTATAGAAAATTTGTGTTACATTATAGACAAAAATTAAGATTTTTTTTCCCACAGTGTAAAGACAGACACAATGTAAAGATACTTCATAAAGACAACAAGCAGCAATGTAGAAATTATTATACTGTGTGACTTATCATGATCATTGAAAGTATTGATTATATCATAAGTGTTTCATTAACTAAGACAATATGAGGCAGTGCATTGTAAGATTCCCTGCCGTAAGGCTTCCCTGATTTTCAGTGTTGAAGTAATAATCTGCCCGAAATGCGACCAAATCTCCCTGACGTTTTTCACCTTTTAAAGAACTTCATTTGTTTGACTGTGACAGTAGACACATGCAGTGTTATTCCTCTTCAGACAATCTATGCTGTTTCTGAACTTCATTCATTCCTTTTGACATTAAAGTGCAATAAAAGCAGAAACAGCAAACTTATAACAATCTAATATTCACAGTGTTACGAAACTTCAGATCCTTCATAAACTATGTTAAATTACTGATCACATGTTGTTCAGTTTTTTCATTTGCACATGCAATTTCTGTGATATTTTTAAAATACAGATTCATCCTTACATGCATCATCTGATTTCTGCAAATCACTTTGTGACAAACTGGTTAATTAAAAAAACACAAACAAAACAGAGCTCCATATAAATAAATGAATTATAAATATTACACATAATAAGGACCGGTTAGGTCCAAGCTCAAACACAGTGGGTACTTCAAAGTGCTAAACATTTGGTTGTGCAGAAAGTCTGTGTTTAGACCAAAGTTGCTCCATTATAACTTGTCGTGTACAACACATCATCATCGTCATCATCACTGTCTTCATTGTCATAGTCCTGCTGGACGTTGTAGCTGGTGTTTGGGACTTGGTCGTTCTGTGAGGAGATTAAATGAACATTAGTAAATGCTAACACAGCTGTAACACTTCAGACTGGTAACTAATCATTTGTTATGGACAAGACTGAAGTAGGAATCAAGCATTTGTGGAGCAGTTGAATGATAATTTATGTTATTGACACATAGCTTCTTGCACAGGATTTCTCTAAAGGTATAACAACAAGTGTAATGACTTGTGAAGAAAGTTAGACAGGAACAATGTGGAAGGACGGTTACAAAGGTAGACTTTAAAACATAGCAAACATTTGAATAATGTCTTCTGAGTTTGGTTACAAAAAGGTCTTTGTCAAATATCATTGAGATTAATATTCACAATTTGAGTGTTTCTTGAATTTAGTGAGCTCTGTTTCAGATTTGTGTAGGCTTTCAACAATGTTATTGTGTTGTATCAACCAATGAATGACACCAGTCAGGCATTCTGTGAGGTTTATTGGACTGAACTTTTCCTATCAGGTAAAACTATGTTTTGTTGTTGGACCATAGTGGCCTGTATCAGTGTCATGTCCTTCTTTGTGAAGAATTGCCTCTTTTCCAGCAGCACTTTGAGTAGTAACAGTAGTTTCCAGCTATAAAGGAACAAATCTTTGTGCATATATATGTGTGGGTGTCTGTTCTTCATCTTTCTCGACAGCCGTTCATCAGATCTACTTCACAGTTGGTGTGTATATTGCTGGGGACCTAAGGAAGCGCAGTGCCAAGTGTGAAGGGCTTTGGATGAGTAGTACTCATATTTTGGCTCACAGCTGTTTTCTGTTACGCTTTTCACAATTTTTTCAATACTGACGTAAGCGACGTTTCATCATCGTGACTGACAGCCGTTCACAACATCTCACTGACTCAGCTCAATCTGACAAAGCATGTTATGAACAGACAGTGGACTAGCTAATAGCAGTAATGAACTGTAGAGACAGACGTAGTTCAATAGAAGTAATAGTAGTAGCATAAAGAGTAGTGGAGATTAGTGTTAGTAATAGTGTTTACCTTTTGGCCTGGCAGGTATAAATGCTGTTCAGATTTCTCCTCTCTGGGCTCAGTGTCCATAAAGGCCACATAATGGATCAGAGTGCAGATTCTGGGACGAACATAAAAAACAAGGATGTTAGATTTTTTATTTTTTTTTTTTGAAAGAATAATAAAAATCATCAGTATGAACAAGTGGTCACCTGTGGTACAGCATGCCAAAAAACTGGAGCAAAACTGACACGGCGAATCCCAGAATGAACATAAAGCCGATAGGATCAATGTCGATGTTTTTTCCAATGAACTCGAGGTTGTGGTTGTATATTGGGATCACAATGGTGAAGGAAGTGTCGAAGACCTGGAGGGTGAAGGCCGCCACCAGCCACAGGCCATTCAAGATGAAGAAGACAAAGCTGATCTGTGTGTTATGAGAAAGATCAGATTAATTTAACAATAATTGTTAATTGCACTGGTTTCCTATTCGAGATGCATTGGAGTTCAGCTCTCCACACTTACTTTGTTTCTCAGGTGTCGCAGATCATTGGCAATCTCTTTCTGTCTCTCTTTGTCATCAGATAGAGGTTTCAGGTATTTCTCCTGCAGCTCTCTCCAAAATTCCACCTCCTCCTACAGGGAGACACAAATCTTTTTAGTGCTTAAAGCTACTTAAAACTCACATTGACATGGCATGAAGCTAACTTTGGATACACTTTTAATGTATCCCGAAACTCACCAAGATGCTCAGTGTTTGAGTTTAGCAACAGATGAACCTCCTTGGTTTATGAAAGATTTGTGCAGCACTAAACTTATTTGGTATTATAATTCTTTATGGATTGAAACATTAATAAACCCTCGACAGAAGTGATTTAAAAGAGGATCAGTAAGACACACTCACCTGGTCGAGTGAGTCCTCGTGCAGTCGCATATCATCAGACACATTCTGTACTTGTGTGACCCAACCTGGTGCAAAGACAAAGACAGAGAACTATTAGCTCGCATCACATTTACATGTGTGTTGGGCATTTCTAGAACAAAAACATGTTGATTCTTATAAAATAATGTGGACTTACTTTGAACAGGATTGTCATAAACAGTTGCCGCTTGTCTGAGAGACAAACAGAAAATTTATTAGTATCATCTTTGGCATTTTATGACTGAAATATTGCATCTCAGTTCATTTTCCATCCTCAGAACTCACCTCTGTTCTGCTTCTGCGATACTTATGTCCTCCACAATCGTGTTTTGGGGTTGAGGCTCAGTCTGTGACGGGATCATGGTCTCCTGGCTTCTCATGACTCGTTCATCATGAGATCTCTCGCTGGACTTCTTGCAACACTTGGCCCATGAGAAGAGCCGGTGGAAGGTACTTTTGGCTGCAGGGGTAAAAATGTGTTTCATGAATTACTTTCAGGCAGCACAAATAATAATATATGTTTTCTGTTACACTGTGAGTGTTTCCCAGTAAGTACTGCTATCTACCTTTCTGTGCTTTTGTTTGCGGGATGTTTGCTGCAGGTGGGGCAGTGCCACCGGCAGGCTTCGTCTCCCTTGTCCCCCAAGAGACATTGTTCATGTTGACCATGGAGTAGATGGTGAGCAGCAGGTAGGCGCTGGGGACGCAGATGATGTAGAGCAAGCCATAGAAGATCAGGTGAAATTCCTGAGGATGCATTATTGCGGTGACGACAAAGATGAGGGCCATGCAGATGATGAAAAGACTGATGGGTGTCAGGATGGTTTGGTCCTTCACCATTTGTCCTGAAGGAAGATAAAGAGACGAGCAAGTTTTAGAATTAAAGCAGCTTTAAGCATCTCTTAAAAGATTTCAAAAAAATCCAAGTGAGAAGTTTGACACATCTGCATGAAGTTAAACCAGTTTGAACATAACTCACCGATAAAGGACATGGACACCACCAACATAAGGAATGCGTAAATGACACTCATGACTGCTGCTATAGTGATCTGAGTGTCTGACTTGAGATGGAAGCAAAGACCCAGATAGATGGCAGGAGGAATCACGGCAATGATCAGAGCACCACCAGAATGGATGCCAAAGATATAGGTCAAACTACCTAGAGGACACATCAAACAAGGAATTTTAAATGTTGTTGTTCTTGCTGTTGAACAAAGGGCTTCAACTGTGGACACAAAAATTGTCTAAAAGTTTACATGTGCGCAGATTATGTTCTGAAGCACTAAAATAACACAAACCTGCAGCCATAAGACAGATGGTGGCAGGAGCCAGAATTACTGAAATGATGGCAAATAGCTGGTAAAACATGTAAGGTTTGGAAAGTGATGAGTTTCTCTTGGAAATAAGGGTGGTGGAGCCCAGCAGATCCACGGTGTTAGCTAATGTGGATGGTCCCCATCGCCGGCGCTGAAAGTGGCAAACAAACATTGGAATGATTGCTATGATATTTGGCTAAATGAGGAGTTGTACCCAAACCATACTGACAATTGGAACCAATTGTTGGACAAAGTCCTTGTGGTATTGGAATGTTATTGGAATGGTTTTGATTTTGTCCAGCACTTACCTGGTTGTAGAGTTCTTTGAAGCCCTCTGGTGCGTTAGTGTAGGAATCAGATGCTGAGTTGTACTCCACCCTCCAGCCCTGCTTTAAGAGCAAATTGCTCAGCCAGCGGTCCTCGCCTGCAGGGAACAGAAAATTTATTTTTATGTGAGAGGAGCAAAAGGAAGAAGAGAAACAGTAAAAGTTATCACAGTGACTGAGGGAGAGACATGCAGTTCTATTTGTAAGTAAGTTTCAAAGGGTAAAATCACAACTTTCTTACACTTTGCAAATGGATAGAACAGAAAAACAGATTTTAACCCAAAAGTTGGGTGCAATAAAATAAATAAAATTCAAAAAGATGAATGAAGATGAAAATAGATGTCGTTTAAATGTATCACCTTGGTCGTACTGGATGTAGTGGCTCGCCTCCATGGACTTGGTTGAATATCTCTTCATCACGTTGTCGTCCATCAGCGCCGCTGCTCTGAACAGACTGAAGCATCCGGGGCTGCACAGCACACATCCGAACACATGCTCTGCTGTCTTCTGCAGCCAGTGACTGACGGCGTACTCGAACTTCTGGAACCAAACTGCAGGACCTGCATGGGAAGTACAGAGGAACGGTAAAACGATGGTGCAAGTCTCTACCTGAATGTTACTTTCTCAACAGCTCTTTTGTTTGTGCAAACCTGATCCGGTGGGATGAACCCTGCCGCACACTGCCCCGACTCGAGGGTACATCTTCATACGGTCGATGAGTAGCATCACAGAACTGGGCTGGAAGTCTGTGTCCCCATCTAAAGCCAGAAGGTAGGTGTTGTGCTTCTCTCTCTGGAGAAACAGGGACAATTAGCTTTGCTTTTCATTTATACTGTGGTAGGTTTGTAGCAGTAGATGAGCATTGAAGCTCAGAAAATGTCTCTTATCTCACCTGGACCATTTCTTTCAACTCCTTCTCATTTTCTCCCATCCTCCAGCTTGAGTAATATTTGGTCATGAGTTTATAGCCCAGAAGATAGTAAAGGTACATGATCTGCATATGAAATAACGAACAGGAAGATATTTTTCACAGTTAATGTTAATTTCACATAAAAAGTCTTGTAAAGGGTGCATGAAAATGTAACCTCTGCACTTTGTTACTACCTGAGACCATCTCTTCTTGTGGCGGACGAGGTCTTTATCCTTGAAGTGAACCACAATGTTGTTCCCATGAGGCATGGTGACAACCAGCCGACCTCCATACGGTGTTCTTACGATGGTCTGATCAGGGATTTGCTGGTGTTTCCTGAAGAACTTTTCATCAATGTTCATGAAGATGCTGATGATAGAGAATAGGAGAACACTGTCTGGTCAGAACTGGATTTAAATTGTGTAAAATGCTCGTAAGCCTTAGACTCTCTGTAAACATGGTTCTTACTCATAAACTTTTGTGATGACTTTCACAAGGTTCTCTCCATGTTCATTGAGGTGGCGCTCTTGACTCCCCTCGACATGTTGGAAGGCATCATCAAAGTAGATATGGGCTTCAAAGGTGAAATCTTTGACCTTTGTTTCGTTCTCTGGTCTGTATTTGTCCAGTCTGCAAAGATCAGACCATCAGTAAGAGGAAAAAGGTAAAAATCCACCACAGTGAGAATGCAAATTTGGAGTTTGTTAAGAAGACATGTCTTTAAACTTTCTGGTCCTAGGACAGCTCTCTTCTTCTGTTCAAATTAAACTACTTCCTTTGTTTTTTTCCACTAAAGGTTGCATTTATTTCACAGAATTACAAATACAGGGGTCAATAATATTTCAAAGCGTAAAAAAGCAAGAAACTGAATTCTTTCTCTCTTTAGAAACCACAGAACTGAGTGAGGTGATATATGAAAGAATGTTTGTGTAGTCTACCTGAATATAGAGATCAGAATGTTCATCATCTCGTCGTAGGTCTCGTGCCACATGGTTGCACACAGATACACCATCGCTGTTTCAAGCTCCCTAAACCTAAACATGACAAGATTTGCAGAT